CGCGTCTCGTCGTCAATGTGGCTGGCAAGAAGATGGCATTCCGCGTGTCTCACTCCCCAACGTGTGGCTTAGAAACCGAAGAAAAATAATGAAGCAATTCGAAAGAAATCAACATTAATCCGTTGTTGGTGTTTGCGCGAAGTTGTCCCACGGACCATGAACAACACGATCACACACGAGTACGTGATCAAAAGCAGCGGATTACAGCATAGGACCTGCAGCTGCCACGAGCCTAAAAGTACACGCTCGCGCAAGCGAAAAGTCACGGCGGGAGAAAAAAAATACCCCACACGACGCAAGTTCGAGGCAAATTCTGCAGGTTGCACGCAAAACCGGCACTACCGAACGTCATGACGTTGAGATGCAACCATGCGACGCGATGACATTGATTGGGCATGTCCTCCTGCGTCGCCCCCGGGAGGCATTTCACTTCATCCCCGTTAGGGAGGTGAGCCTTGTACAAATATGTAGGATTGCAGTTCTTAGCGGCTAAGACCAACGCAACACCTTTGCGCTTGGCAGTATGCCTCACGCACTAAACATACCCAGCAACTGAAACGTTGCGGACAAAGAAAGCATGCGGGCCAAGGCAGAAAGCCTTGAACGATTTGCTTTCACCCTACTGCTCGGGCCACTGCGGGCCCTGCTTTGCGCGAAACAGGGTGATCGAGCCCGGACTCCCTGACGCGGCCAGCACACCAGGCTTCCACCGGTCCTGGAACCGCACCCGGAACCTGACCCGCAGCTTGAGGAACACCGTACATTGCTCGTCTGGATTCCGAAAACCCGCCGTCGCACATCTCCACTGTTCGTTTTGGATGCACACGACATTGTAATCACCACCGGTCGTAAGGGAGGTGAATTCAAACGGGCAGACGCAGAATAGACGTGACAAATGGTCGATTGATTGTGCACTCAGATGCGGCAGGCGTCCGTGCTACGTGAGCTAGACGGGGTGTTCAAACCCACGTCAGTCATGCTGTTCTGATGATTAGATGCACATCGAAGCCGTAGCATGAAGCACTGGCAGTGTCGAGGAGCCATGATTGAGACGTCGTGTACAACAGTGGACACCGTTTGAGATCGGCGAGCTATCTGATGCTAAAGATTCTAAATTTACAGTTTACGACGAAATCGGCAACGGGGCACTACTGACCTTCACCTGCCGGTTCGGTGTATTAATTACCACCTTGAACCCGGAGTACGAGCCGCAGGAGGTGCAAGAGAAGAAGACGGTCGACGGAATTTGTGGATGCAGGGAAACGGAAGCAATGGCGCGGCTTGATGCTTCCGGTCGGGGTTAGACACGACTGCGTCAACAAGCCAGAAGTACGAGACTTGCAGCTGCATATAAAACATGTTTTATCCACTCGGAAGTTCAAATGCATCCCCCATGTGGCTGGCCAATCCTTCGAAATCAGCTGGTCGGTTTGCCCTTCCAAGTATGCAGGTCAAGTTACAACCGCTTAACACGTAGCGCTCCGAGACCCGAGTGAGGGCACAGAAAGGAACAACAGTCTGTGCAGTTACCGAGGGCCCGGAGTGGGATGAGCAAACTATAACGATATAAGACTACCTCGGAACACAACGTGTGTTGACGTAGAGCATTTGATGACATGACACCAGAGTCGACGTCTTGACAAGAACTCTGGGAACATCACGGGAGAAGTCAAGATCATGTCGCCAGATGTGTCCGGATCTGAAATTAATTCAGGTGCGCGTCAACGCTGCAGAAGGAACACGTGTACTAACGTCGCAGGGTCTGAAATACCCGAAGCCCATGTGGGAACCTGTTGGTGCGCAAACAAACGTGCAAACGTTCAAGTGCGGGTGTCGTGTGTGTGTGTCTCATGACTCATCGGTCTATTCGGTCCCGGCAGAACAAAAAAAAACGCGGAAGATCCAGAAAGAACCCAGTCACGAAAGGGTTAAACTCGTGGCTTCTGGGGAAAATATGTTGTATTGATGAGACCTTGGACCAGGAGATCAGGTCAAAAGGTTGAGTGGGTTGGGTGCGCGAGCACCGCAGCACCAGCCATGTCGCTCGACCAACGCACAAACACGGAACACAGGCCAATTTCCGATCCGACATACCGAGAACATTCTAGGCATTCCATGAACATTCCTACAAAACGACAGTCCCGTTATTTGAAACTGCCCTACATATCAGTGCTACGTTCACCTTCGTCCTCTGGTTCTTCTGCCGTCGCCGATGAGACGTCATCGCCGCCGCTCCCGGATGAATGGTCGTCTTCACCCATCGAGGATGAACAGCAGCAGCAGTAGCGTTCCCAGCGTACATGCAGAAAGGCGGTACAAACCGAAGCAATTTCAACTAGTTATAGATTTGTAAAGTCTTCCTCACAGTCTCCAGATTTTTCCTGTGGCTGTAAGAAGACTGCGCACTGATTCTGTCCATCTGTCGCGTCAGCTGTCGGGAAGAGTCGGGCTGTTGTGTCGAACAGCCCGGCAGCCCGGCAGAAGACGTCAGCTTCAACCAAAAACGTACGCGTCAAATTACGCGGTGACAAGCTGTTTCTTATCTATCTGATGTTGAACCCTCTGTGTCATCACAACATGCCAACAACATCAGCGGAGCGTTGGCGCAGCAGCTGTCAGATCTGAGCGGCTGTGGAGCGAGCGTGTACGTGTGGGGAAAAGAGAATACAACAGGCGATGGGGACCGCCGACGCTTCACCTTCGTCCTCTGGTTCTTCTGCCGTCGCCGATGAGACGTCATCGCCGCCGCTCCCGGATGAATGGTCGTCTTCACCCATCGAGGATGAACAGCAGCAGTAGCGTTCCCAGCGTACATGCAGAAAGGCGGTACAAACCGAAGCAATTTCAACTAGTTATAGATTTGTAAAGTCTTCCTCACAGTCTCCAGATTTTTCCTGTGGCTGTAAGAAGACTGCGCACTGATTCTGTCCATCTGTCGCGTCAGCTGTCGGGTAGAGTCGGGCTGTTGTGTCGAACAGCCCGGCAGCCCGGCAGAAGACGTTAGCTTCAACCACAAACGTACGCGTCAAATTACGCGTGACAAGCTGTTTCTGATCTATCTGATGTTGAACCCTTGTGTCATCACAACATGCCAACAACATCAGCGGAGCGTTGGCGCAGCAGCTGTCAGATCTGAGCGGCTGTGGAGCGAGCGTGTACGTGTGGGGAAAAGAGAATACAACAGGCGATGGGGACCGCCGACGCTTCACCTTCGTCCTCTGCTTCTTCTGCCGTCGCCGATGAGACGTCATCGCCGCCGCTCCCGGATGAATGGTCGTCTTCACCCATCGAGGATGAACAGCAGCAGCAGTAGCGTTCCCAGCGTACATGCAGAAAGGCGGTACAAACCGAAGCAATTTCAACTAGTTATAGATTTGTAAAGTCTTCCTCACAGTCACCAGATTTTTCCTGTGGCTGTAAGAAGACTGCGCACTGATTCTGTCCATTTGTCGCGTCAGCTGTCGGGTAGAGTCGGGCTGTTGTGTCGAACAGCCCGGCAGCCCGGCAGAAGACGTCAGCTTCAACCACAAACGTACGCGTCAAAAATTACGCGTGACAAGCTGTTTCTGATCTATCTGATGTTGAACCCTCTGTGTCATCACAACATGCCAACAACATCAGCGGAGCGTTGGCGCAGCAGCTGTCAGATCTGAGCGGCTGTGGAGCGAGCGTGTACGTGTGGGGAAAAGAGAATACAACAGGCGATGGGGACCGCCGACGCTTCACCTTCGTCCTCTGCTTCTACCGTCGTCGCCGATGAGACGTCGTCGCCGCCGCTCCCGGATGAATGGTCGTCTTCACCCATCGAGGATGAACAGCAGCAGTAGCGTTCCCAGCGTGCATGCAGAAAGGCGGTACAAACCGAAGCAATTTCAGCTCGATTTTTTTTTTTCTGTTCAGGTCTGTCATATCTGTCATATGGGGGAGATGTTCTGGAATGCTGACTGTCTCATCCATCTCGCCTCATCCCCACCGGATTCTTGAGACATCACGATGCTACGGGCACTACCTGATACTGTTCGCACGCTGGAAACGCACATGTATACATCGTTTGCTCTTCGTTGCCCTCTCTGAGGGTGTGTGTGTGTGTGTGTGCGTGGAAAAAAACAGAAAAACAGGGCTTGATGGCGCCGCTCAATCAATTCGTCCTCCTTCTGCTGATGATGGCCATGAGGCCATGATTGAGTTCGACTGCTGAATGAACTACACATAGCCCCAAGTATGTAATTTCCAGCAGCAGTCGAACAATCTATATGTCGTGGCAGTGTCAGCAGAGATGCTGAGCAGTGCACACATCTCGTGCAGACTGCCGAGCCCGACGTCGTCAGCAGGCCGGCATGCCGGCACATGCAATGCATATCATATACGTAATATTCACATATTATCCATCCGATCGGCTGCGGGCTTTCAACCCCAAAAATCCAGTAACTACTTCTTTTGCAGCAAAATCCTCCAGAAGGATCTCTTTAGAGTATCGATGAAAAAGCTCGTGGCGGTGTCAGCAGAGATGCAGAGCAGTGCACAGATTTCCGTGCAGACTGCCAAGCCAGAGGTCGGGAGGTCGGCATGCACATATACACATCCATCCGCGAGGCTGCGGGTTTTCAACCAAACCAAATCCAGAAAACCGTTGAAAATATTATGAGCTCGGGCCGACCTGCCGCGAATCCTTTGATACGAAGGTATGCGTATATACGCATACTACAGACATACCGCGCTCACGCAAATTTGGCTGCCATAGCTTGGGTACGCTGCTGCTGTCTATGTTGCCAACAGCGAACTTGGCCACTACATGGACACACACGTAAATAACCCTGACAGAGGGTACCCAGGGATGATTGGGTCGGCCTCAACACACGCTCGCTACCTCGTATCGAAAAATATATTTATGCCCCCATAGACTAGATCACGTCGCCATTAGACAATGGTTGTCGCTGTGTTTTAATAGCCGGACATGACAAGCCTACAACGTTATTATGTGGGCGTGGCACACGATGGCCTCAACTCAATACTGTGGAGCAAACACATGTCCGTTGAGAAAATTGATAACAGTGGGCCGGGGGGACATGGGGTGATAGAGATTGGGTAGGTCTACAAGAAGTACGGTCGACGAGTACTGTATGTCTATGCTCGATGCCGATCCCCTGGCGAGGGCTTTCACTGACGCAGGCGATCGCTAGAGAACAGAAGAACGGCTGGCCTGTATTGGCTATAGTACTTCCACTCATGCTCTCGGCGTTCTTCGCCCGCTCTTCTGCTTACCTTCGCCCTGGAGGCTACGCCAGTTGATCTCTTCAGCTTCGGCGAGAAGATCGACGTCTCCCTGTTGACAAAGACGACCCATGTAGTCAGCAGGCGATACAAGTACGTCGATGTACTCAACGGGAGAAACCTTGTCCGTCAATTCGCCCATGACGCAGCGCGTAGTCTCGACAGTGGTTCGAGCGAAGGGCTCCATCTTCATTTTATACGCTTATCCCAACGACATCCATGCGTCGTGCTGTCGTGTTTGTATTGTCCTACGGTCAATAATTAAGCATCGCTCCGTAGAAGAAACCCGTTGGGTTGGCCAGCATTCATTTTGAAAGCCGCTTTGCCCCGAGTTACAAGTCACGATGTGATTTATGTGTACCTCGAGGTCAACGTCCCTGCCCCTCAAAGCCGAGCCGGCGGAGGCCGAGGTACCGCTAAGAGCCAGTAGCACGATAAGGAGGATAGACGCGATCCCGATCCTCGCTGCCGTGGTCGTCTTCATCGCCATGGTTATCCTGCATCAAATCAGGCAAGGGGCAGCGTACGGTTCAGAACGAACAATCAAGAAAAGGCATTCGATCAACGCAAGGACCAGGACTATTCCGTTTTCGATAACAAGCAACCGATCGGTCGGCCCGCTTTGACGGTGTGGCGGTGGCGTCCATCTCGACATATCTACATTCCACAAGGTTGAGGTGGCCTCGAAGGCGATGAGCCCGCAGCCGTGTCCTCGGTGCATCATGATTGAGGTCAACACACGGCGAGCTCGGCGAGAAGTAGGTACCACCTGGTTTACGTGGCGGGTCTTGTGAAAATGCCGATGATGTACATGACTGTACGTGGCAGTGGTATCTCGGGGAGGGGTTAGGAGCGGGAGATGTGGGCAGTAAGACAATGGAGGCGTCTTTCGTCTTTTCCATTGGGGATAATTGGGGGGAAGTGATTCTTGGACGCGCCAACGAGAGCACTGATGTGGTGAAGAGATGCGGGGGAGGAAGGCGAGGGTAGGGGCGGTAGTGAGGGTGATGGGAGCCCTGGAGACGGTCGGGGGGTGGTGCTTCCAAGCGAGACATGTCGCCAGTGTCGAGAACAGGGTGGCAGATTGAATCATGTTATCATGTTATATATATACTCACAGGATGGTCGTCGTGACGTGATACATTTCTTGTTAGTATGGGGAAAAAAAAAAGATGGCTCGATTTTTGTATTTCTACAGCAGTATGGACCAGACGCCGACTGTACATAGAAGTCGTACGAGTGTCGACTTAGTTGTGCTGTCACAGCATCTTCCACGCACTTCTGTCAGTGCTGGTTTGTTGGTTGGAGTCTTGTAGGTTGAGATACAGCCGTGAGATTCTCGGGTTGTGGAGGCAAAAGTGAACCAGAGCAAAAAATTTCATGCATAGCTCGACTACTGCTTGTTGCTACAGCAGTATGGACTAATAGACGCCGAACGACGTCCGCGTACTACGGCAACGATCTAACTGGATGCTTCCTGTCACGGCGAACCATAGTACAATGCGATGCAAACATCCTTTCGTGTGTCTTGCGGCTGCCACATGTGTCAACGGTTTTTAATGTGGTAACTTCTCTCCGCGCATGATGAGTCATATGCGGTTATGACCTGCGCTTTGACTTTCACGATGGGTATTTTACCTTCCCGTCTTGCATTGGTGAGTACCTGCGTTATACGGAAGGATCGTTCCACGACCCAAACAAACGTCGACGTCTCCTTTTTTTTGTTTTTTTCCTTCGCACTCCTTCCCTGCCGCGGTTTTCACACCGACTTCGAACTCCAACGTGGGGTGCAATTTCCTCTCTTCGTATCTTCCTCGTCGGCCTTCTTCATCGTTATGTACATAATGTATACCTCGATTTTTCGGCTTTTCGACTCCGATAGACAAGACTACGGACTGACATGTGCCTTTCACCCCCGACGGGACCGTGCGCTCGTCGAGTGCCGAAATTCTTCACCACTTCCTTGCCTCTCCCAACTCTGTCCCTTCTTCCCGCCCCTACAAATCTTCTCCCCTTCTTCTTCTTTCCTTCCTCCCGGACACTCACCACCATCCGTCCTGGATGTTGGCCCCCAGCCCCACTGGGGGGCGGGGTTGGGACATCCAGTAATTGTAGCTTCCCTACCAACTCTGACCCTACCCTAACCCCGGTAAGGCCGTGGAAGCTGCCCTAAACCTGTTTTGAATAACTTTCATGGAAGCCTAAGGTTCGACTTCCATGGAAGCTATTCCACTTCCATGGGATTTCATGGGACTTCCGTGGAAGTTAAATTCCATGGAAGTAGCGCATCCATATTTCGTATCTTTTGTATCCCACACATTCTACAGTTTTTCTAAAACGCCAATGGGAAACCCATGGGCAGCCCATGGGTGACCCATGGGCCGCCCATGGGCACTTTGTTGCCCATGGTTGACCCATGGGTGCTCATGAGCATGGGTAGCCCGTGGGCAGCCCAATAGCGGCTAATGAGAGCCGTTCAACCGGAACCAGTGTGCTCCTAAAAAAATGATTGTTATCTGCTTTGGAACAGACATTATAGCGGATTCCTAACGCCAAGCCTATCCCTATCCTCAAGCCCACACGATACGTGCTACGTTGGCGCTGGTGGCTAAGTTAGGTTGATGTTCTAGATTGATATGCTGGTGGCGAAGTTCTAGGTTGAAGTGCCCACGGCGGACAGGTTGAAGTGCCCACGGCGGGCACTTCATAGGCACTTCATGGGCCGCCCATGGGCATCACCCATGTGTGTCCCATGGGCGGTTCAGCACAACTGTCAAGAGTGTGGGAGAGTGTCACTACGTGGTTCTCTCTCCTCTTGTTTGACCTCGTCATGCCAGTGTAGGTCATATTAGGTCTAGCACCAGGTCCCTCATGTATCATCTATTCACCACCCGCTCCATATCACGTGATGTGTGTGCACGAAATTCCGCATACACACCCACATCAAACAAAAAAACCTGCGCCCCCTGGGTACCGCCGCCCCAAGCACACTATGTACACTTAAACATGGACAGCTTATTGCAGTAGTTGCCAATAGGAGATGGGGGGGTCGCATGGCAGGGACTCGTGCATAACCACATCGTTCGCCGGCACTGACGCCCGATCGTGTCGAGATGGTGATGTTCCGCATATTATATCTCGAAGCCTGATCTTTCTCCGGAGATGAACCAGCAGTTCGACTGCACGTACGAAAATATATGCATATATCACATGAATTGGAGAGACTTTTTGCAGCTCAGTCGGTTGGGAAGGCTAAAGTAAAGCTACATCTGTCCGACCTGCTCGTGCGGGAAAGCAAGTGGTTGTCGAGTTCGAATCTGACAGAGTTTAGTACTGGTAGGGTCTTACACGTCCCCGCCTCAGCGAAAACGCCTCAGCTGGAAACCCGTGAATATCTGTTTCGTGTCCCCACTCTCGCCCCCAAACTACCCCCCCGCCATTCCACGGATGGATCCCGATTTTCGATTAAGTCATGTGTCTCGAAGTTCATGGTCAAATGGCAGAAGCTAAGCATAACACGCGCGGAGGAACGGAACAAGAAAAACACCGGAAATAATACCAAAAGGACAGCAGAGCAGGGGGGGAAGGGAATACGGGGGGGGAAACGTCGAAAGACGGAAGACACGACTGCAGCCGAAGAGAACAGGACGGAGATGGCTTAACAGATAGAGACATGTGTCCCGGGATGATGATGATGATGATGGAGACGATAGCAGGAACACCAGCTGGATGTATCCACATATTTTTCCCGTCGGATCGCTAACCCCCCCCCCCCCCCCCCCCCCAGAGGCCCCCAAAGGGAA